TGGTTTGTGGCCACTGCAGGCTCACTGAAACTGGACTTTTGAAGACTGAAAAAAGGGTGCCTGGTCTGATGGAATCTTGCTTTAAGGCCACTGCAGGCTCACTGAAACTGGACTTTTGAAGACTGAAAAAAGGGTGCCTGGTCTGATGGAATCTTGCTTTAAGGCCACTGCAGGCTCACTGAAACTGGACTTCTGAAGGCAGAAAAAAGGGCGCCTGGTCTGATGAATCTCGGTTTGAGGCCACTGCAGGCTCACTGAAATTGGACTTCTGAAGACTGAAAAAAGGGCACTTGGTCTGATGAATCTCGGTTTGAGGCCACTGCAGGCTCACTGACACTGGACTTTTGAAGACTGAAAAAAGGGTGCCTGGTCTGATGGAATCTTGGTTTCTGCTGCGATATGTAGAGTGTAGGAATTTGGTGCTAAAAGCATGAATCTGTGGATCCATCCTGCCTTGTGTCACCAGTCCATGCCGGTGGTGATGTAATGATGTAGGGAATGTTTCCTCTGCACATTGGGCTCCCTAATACTAATCGAGTATTGTTTAAATGACACAGTATCTGAGTATTGTTTAAATGACACAGTATCTGAGTATTGTTTAAATGACACAGTATCTGAGTATCGTTTAAATGACACAGTATCTGAGTATTGTTTAAATGACTGAGTATTTTTGCTGACCATGTGCATCCCTTTATGGGCACCATTTACCCATCTTCTAATGGCTACTTCCAGCAGGCTAATGTGCCGTGCCACTAAACAGAAGTCATCTCAAGCTGCTTCCATTAACCTAACGATGAGTTCAGTGCACTTCAATGGCCTCCCCAATGAATCTGACAGGGGAAACAGGAGAATCGCCACACGGATGTGCAGCAGTCAAATCTGCAGCATGATGCATGAATATGGTGCAGACTCTCTAAGGCAGTGTTTCTCAACCCAGTCCTCAGCGAACCCCAGCCAGTCCACGTTTTTGCTCCCTCCCAGCTCCCAGCCAATCAGGAACACCGAATAGCTGGTACAGGTGCGTTGGGAGCTGGGAGGGAGCAAAAACGTGGACTGGCTGGGGTTCCCTGAGGACTGGGTTGAGAAACACTGCTCTAAGGGGTGTGCCCCGCACCTTGTTGAGTCCATGCCATGAAAAAATGGTCCCCACAGCGTCAAATTGACAGGTTTTTATCACATTGTGCGGACATTTGGTCCCCATAATGTAATGTATACCTGGACCCCACACACATATATATATATATATTCATGGTCATATAGCATAGCTGGAAACGTGTTTCATTTGAAGCGGCCTCCTTACCTGAGCCTTCTTAGACACCTTATTGTGAAGGAGCGGACATTGGGATCAGGGAAGCTGTAATCCAGGAGCTCCAAGGCATGCAGAGCTGGGAGTTCAGGCCACAGCTGCAGGAGACTGACCATCTAGGATGAAGTACACCAATTCATGTCAAATGTTACTATATTGTTTCGAAGGCAAGCAAAAGTGCTCAAATGTTACTCAAATGATCATTTAGTGATTTGAAAGAAATCAAAAGCACTGAAGAGAAAAGAAATCAAAATATAAAATAGGCACATTTCCAGATGTAAACATCAAGAAGTATCTGTTGAAGGTTGACGGCAGAAGTGCACCTGCGCTACATCTTCATGCTTGTTCCATTTGGTGATGAGGAGCAATTTGGACAAACTCTCTGGGTATTTCTCAAACATTTCATAGCGTAGCTTCCATAAAATCTCCTTGTCATCCTCAAAAAACTCAGTGTAGTTTTTATTTTCCACTATCTCCCTCAGTTTCATGTGCTGCAAACGTTCAGGTAACATTTATTCTGTACATTTATAAAACACGTCAGACAAAGCAACAGGTTTCTATATGCAGTATAAGGTAGTAAATTAATAACTTCATTCTAAAAGAGCTCTAATACACTATTTTTCTAATGATTACTATAAAAATTGCCATTGTTTTCTTTTTTAATTATTTTGCTTATGTTCTTGCCAAAGTTGCTATTATTGCAGTTATTGAAAGAATAATGATAATTAAAAAATTGATTAGCCTTTTATAAAGTTTTTACTTATAAAAGTTTGGCTGTAAAATCATATGGATATGGTATCGTTTGTTTTGTTTCATGAGTGATCCATGCTTCATATATCAAACATAAATTGCTCACCTCCTCTTTCGTAGCTTCAGCTCTGTTTCCATTTATTCGGATGTCATAAGTCTGAAAGAGTATCAGAGAGCATTTCATGTATTGGGGGTTCATTTTAAATGTAATTATGTATATAGTGGTACCTCAGTTCTCAATCTCATTAGAACTCGAATTTCTTAAAAGTCGAACCAACCAGTTTGAAAAAAAAATACCTAGAGCTCGATCTGAATCTCAGAAGTCAAACCGTGAACGCCGAGCTAAGATAACTTGTACGCGCGGGGAAATTAGTCACGCGGCACATCTCTCAGCAGAAACAGAGGGTAAAGCTTCTGTCTCAGTCTCGCATTCTCTGTGATAGCATCGTGCATGTTTACACTGGCTGAATACATATATTTAGACAGTAAAAATACAGAACTCGAACTTTTTAGGATTCACTCTGGAGTTCTGAAATGATTAAGTTCAAGTTTCGAGGTACCACTGTATACTTCAAGCACATGTTATATTCAAATTGATACATTTTCTGTAAAATTACTTATTTTAATCAAGACTGTACATAAATTCAGTTTTTAATAGTAGATTTTCCAAATTACAATACAGCAATGGTGATAATGTCTGAGACCTGGTGGAAGACAGGACTGCTTTCTTTAAAAAAAACACTAAAATATTGCATTTAGTGGCTATTTTACATTGATCTTTGTTGTGGAATTTACTATGATATACGTGTATTTATGATGACAAAGCATGCATCTATCCCTCCATCCATCCATCCATCCATCCATTTTCTGTAAACCGCTAATCCTATTCAGGGTAAGCGGGGTCCAGAGCCTATCCTAGAGGCTACAGGCACAAGGCAGCAAAGCGAAAAGTATTTAAAACATGCAACCCTGCACACTCATAAACACCTTAAAATCACAGTAAGTACGGTGCCTTCTAAAGAATTGTGTTTGGTAATTGGTAAAATGCTTTGGTAATTTGTAATCAAGCATCACTGCATTCACCCATGACAAAGGACAATCCTGGTGTGGAAAAAATTATTTAAACATACTATGAGTCCATAATTCTGTGCATATTTCATAATCTTCCTACATAGTTTGTATTTTTTTTTCTGTGACTTGTATGTTCACAGGTACATTTAATGTATCTATTACCAGGCTGCAACAATGTTTCTTTATTACAACTTGCTTTGTCTATAACTATACATAAACATTTCCCGTAATAAACAGAAAAACGTGATGGCCATAATGGAAGTACGAAGCAGACTACCTTGCTAAGTGATGGATAGTAGATCGGATGCGGCCGGATATTTGGAAAGCGGATCAGAAGGCCTGCCGCGCTCTCAGTGTTGGGATTTATTTCCACAGTACCCATTGGGTTCAAAAGTTCACTTTTATCATCTGCAAATTTACAATAACAAGCCAGTTGGTTATTTCATTATTCACTTAGACTATTCATTCAGACAATACTGTTAAAGCAGCTGAAATAATGGAAGGGAACAAATGACCTGGCTGGTAAGAATCTTAATTGTCAGTTATTACTAACCTTACTGGGATATTGTAACTAAGTCAGAATACATGTTATATCCTCCTGAGACCCGACCTATTCATTTATGTCCATTGTAGTGGACATTGTATTTTTGCATTTATTTTTTCACTGATGTTGGGAAACGTATTTATTCTTGTTGTGCACTAAAGAGGACATGCTGTGAAATTAAAATAAGAATAAATTTGAAAAAATCTAAATTGTAAGATGTCTTATTTCCTCCAAAGACAAATAACCTACAATTGAAGGACACTTTTTTCCTTGGGTCTCAGGAGGATATATGTTGGTCAATAATTTGCTAAATATATCATGTAATAAAAATCTGATTTATAATAAAACCTGATTTTGCTTTAAACTTTATTTTTTAAAGTTTTGCTTTAAACTTTTTTTTTTTTTTTACAGCATTCCAAAAATATGCTATTCAAACACTGACGGAAAAAAAACGAACACACCCATTATAGTTGAAAGCACATAAATTGCAACTAAAATATTACAAATACTAATAACAAAACACTGAATACGTTTATTTATTGAAAAAGCATGGGAGAGAGCAGATGTAGAAAGTGCCGGTGTTTACTATTACTCACCAAAGCACACGCAGCGTTTTTCAGGAGAAAAACAGAGTGTGTGTATATTTAAGTGCACAGTTGGCACCATTGCGTTCCCACCCAGTGATCAAGGCTTTTAAAGTTATCATAATCTTTGGTGAGTACAGATAGCATGCAAGAACATGCAAGAACAACTAATACTGTATTCCATTTCAAGAAAGAATATTAATTTTTTAAATAATAATAGTAATCTGTCAGTGATGAACTGTGGCATTTGTGCATAGTTATGCTTCCATATTTTTCAGGAAGCAAGAAAACTGAAAGACACTCTCCCACATAAAGTCTAGGTCAGGGGTCTTATGCACCAAGCAAGGAGGTAGTTACATTAAATACCATTTGTGTTTAACCATATATAAGTATAGCAACAACAGACAAAGATGAGCAAAATGTTTCTAAAATATTTTAAACTATGAGTTATTAAATAAAAAGTATATATTATACAAATACAGTCAGTATCATAAAGACTATTATATTATACCATAATCTCCACAACTGGTCGTGTGCTCCATAGCTGACACAGAGTAGAGTTTGAGATGTTGGTCCAACAGACTTACCAGGCACCGAAGGCCACATAGACAGGTTATATTCTCCAGTCTTAAGCTGGTCTTTGTAATCAAACACCATTGTATTCACCCATGACAAAGGACAATCCTGGAAAGGAAAAAAAAATAATTTACATGCAAATTAATCTGTTATGTCCTATCAAATATATCATATCAAATACTTTTAATATCGTAATGATTTAAACATTTTTTGTTATTTGATTTTGCTATATTGCACATTGGGAAATAGTGCCCTACAACACTATATGACAATACAGCATTAAGAGTAACTAATCCAAAAAGACTTACTATGAAGGGAAAATGTGGTACTATGGGTAATATGTATGCTATCAGTTAATTAGAACACAGTTTCTCAAAATATATTATTATCTGCCATAATCCTTGCAATTATCCCAGGAGGTTTACAAATATAAGAATTTCTAAAACAAATACATCTATTAATATCTATACACTATCCAAGTCATCTGATGGAAGTTTGAATAAGTGAAAGATAAAATCCCTACTTTTATCCAATATTTTTTATTCAGTCCTCCGTCTATCATTTTCCCCATTTCTGTATTATTCTGCCTTAATGATGTTGTAATGTAACAAAGCACAGCATGTAAAGCTTGGGGTAGCTATACTGTGAAAGGCGCTATATAAAAACCTGAATTGAAATTAATTCTACCCGCTTATCTTAGTATGGGTCAACTGGAGCCTGTCCCAGGCAGGGCTTACGGCTGGGGAACACCCTGGGGGGGGGGGGCTTTATGGCCAATTAAGAAACAACCTACTAAGGTATTAAGTACAAGGAAGGAACCCACACAACATGGAGAAAAACATGCAATCTCCACATACGCAACACAGAGAGGGGGTTTTCGGAATAAAAAAGCTCACATCACACTTGAAAGATGGTACTGTTTGGTACTGACTGGTACCAGACATCACACAGACCAACATCCCTAATGTCTGCTCCTGGCTCTAACTGCTGGGCATACTGCACATTTGTTAAAAGCCTTTTAGACTCATATTTTTCCTAAACACCTGGTAGTGCTCGTCTGTTCTCACATTTTGCACTAGCAACAAATATTGACACAAGGTTCAGCAGAAAAACATATGAGACACGTAGCGAGAGAAAATTCTTAGTTCCGCTAACATGCCCCAAACTTCTCTGAATAGTACCATCTGCGGAAAAGAGAAGCACTTTTCATACTGTACAAATGGCAAATTTACTGGAAATAATAAATATTCATAAGCATGCTTCCTTAGCCATTATCTGTCATTCGTAATTAAACGGTGTCATCAACAAGCACACAAATACGTAAACAAAGACACAACACAAAATGGTTAAGGAAAAAGAATATATTTCGGTGTATTGCTATTTTTAATTCCACTATCTGTCCTAAATGATTTAATAATGCAAAAAAATAAAATTAATTCCAGACCAATCTGAGAGAAATTAAAACTGGAAATCTATGACTTTGTATGTGACGTAAAACTGAGAGTGGTGTTTTTAAACTCATGAATGCTGTATTAACTCACAGCTTTCTTGTTCTTCTTCTTAGTGGATCGAGGCTTCTTGCTCTTCTCAGTCACAGCATATAGAGCGAAGCAGAGGCGGGCCATTCGCGGCAGGTCGCACACACTGATGTCGAACTCCAGCTTCTGGTCCCAGACTGGCTCTGAGCAGACGTTCACCTCGCTGCTGGTCATCACCTTGCAGAGCAGCTCGCTGCCGTGGAAGAGGCCAGCCTGCACCACCAGCTGAGGAGAAGAGAGATCAGTGTTACTACAATTATCATGACCGCCAAATTCAAATACATTATGTGCTCAGACATTAAAACTATTCTAAAATTATCAACAGAAACAGATACGTGAGTATATTTGGGCTATTGTAATTTGTGAGTCTGTTGTGCAAAGTTATAAGAATTGCAATTGTATTATAAGAATGGAAAATTTTTAAGTACCATACTTTATAAAGAATTATATAAAGTGCCATATTTTACTCACTGGGAATGGCTTTTTTGCTGTTAGGGGATAATCTGATTTTTGAGAGTCTGAATACAACAGCTCACACAGAAACAATTTTGTCTAGTTTTAATTTTCATTATGATCATTTCAAACTGATGTTTGTCAGTAACTGATTCTCCACAAAGCAATTAAATTGCCTCGTATCTATCCAGCAATTACAATAATACACAATAATAAAGATAATGCAGATCTTCATCAATCTGTTAGAAATAAAACTGAACAAACGTGAAGAATGAGACTTCAAATTGCTTGCAGCGGTGTGGTAGAAAACAAAAGAGGCAACCGATAGTGTGACAGATGTTGTATTTATGTTATGCTAATGGGATCATTGTGCGTGTGATATTTGTGCTGTGCTCAAATAATACACCAGCTACATAGGTATTATAACGTAATTAAAACATACAATAATTATGTAATTAGATATATTGGTAAAAAACTCTACTGACTTGGTCTTAATATTATGCGAACATAACTATCAATGAATTTCAGCTTTCACAGTCTTACCTCCAAGATAAACTTATTTTAATTCTTTCACTGAGTCTCTAAACCACAAAGACGTGGGTAGACAAACAAAGAATGAGCGCCAAAATTTAAGCATTTTTCTTAGAATTAAGACACCAGTACTAGGCGTGAAAGCCCAGTTCCTCTTCATTTCCTGTTATGTGCTGTTGGCTCAAACCACTGATGAATTATGGGAAATATGTGGTCAGTCACATAACCGTATTGTCTGACAATTTGTCTTCTCCCTTACCTCCTTACAAACAAACAATGTGATGTAGTACTTTACAAAAAGGAGATCTACCTTCATCCCTTCATCAGCATTAACTCGACTTCCTTGGACCAGGTGTAAGACAAAGGGATCCTGAATGGACCACAGGGAGGATGTGGTTTGCTGTTCAGAAACAAGAACAATTTCACCATTTTCCCCATAACTTTGTTCATTGAAAATAACTGTGTTGGGAAATCCTGTTTTTTTTTTTACTTTCTTTTAAAAAGTAATATTTAATCAGTAGGTATTTTTCGCAAAACAAAGATTTCTAACTATTTTTAATAACTGTGAGGTTAAAAATGCTTAATGGAAGTATTAAATTTTCTTTGGCAAACGTTCTCAAATTAAAATAAGCATTACGCATCACTAATACAGGCCTACTATTTACTAGTTTCACAAAGATCAGACAGCGTCAGAAATTCTTTTTGCACACTGTTATTATTTAAGTGGCTTTTTAAAAAATGTACTAACATTCCATTTCTAGTATTAAAAGTTACAAAAGACACGGTTGCTTAACCCTTAATATCTCTTATACCTCTTACCCAAAAACAACAGTGTAAAGGTACTTTCCGTTTCATAAGAAACAGCCCTAGCAAGCTGATCTCACTAGCTACTCTCATGTGGTATTCTGCTAGCTATTCTAAACGAACTACCTTGTACAACTGTCACTTTTCAATGTAAATTTCTGCAGAAAAAAACCAAGAACAAGAATTCATGTACAAATTCATCCCTATTTGCTTAATGAAAGAACAAGACAGGTAAAGCAAAAAACGTAGAAACTGTAGACAATATTATACACAGAAAATGGGCTACGCTAAAGAATTGAAAAGGTTTTTAAAATGTAATGATAACATGTTTCAATAAGTTAGCCTCTTACCTTCTTTAGTGGTAGTGGGGGGGGTTTCGTGGGGGGACGGTTTTTGGAAACCTGACTGTTCATGCCACCCTGCTCCTCTTGAAACTTGTTGATAGTGGAGTGATGGACCATGGTCAAGTGTGGAGTAAGACCAGTGCACAGGCAGTTAAAGATGTACTGGGAAGAAAGAGAATTCGATTGAAGAAAATTACCATTCAGAGATCTGGCATGAGGTCATAATCTCACATTTTAGGACCAAACTCAGGCTAATCGCTGGTGCCAGTGCAAATTCACAGCCAGTAAATGATAAAGATGGGGACAGGACATAAACATGAGCTGAAAATGCAAATTATGAATAAAATAAAGCCATCTCAGAGCAGCCCTATCCAGCATGGAACATGCAGTGTAGGGCAAGAAATATTATTCCTGTCGTCTCAGGGCTGCCGTCTAAGCACTAAATCATTGGGTAAAAGCATTGTCTCTCATGAAGACGATAAAGACGAAGCGGAGAGGAGTGCACAAGGTAGGTCCTGGTGACTCATTGCGAATTACCGACGAGATCCGAAACTGGCTGTGGTGCCAAATCAAAATAGAAAGCATTTACATACAGGAAGGGGAAGCGAAATTGAGGGCACAATGGAGGCACGGTTGTTGTTTTTAATTAGTACACAGTTAGCATTTTAACCACAATTAAGCATTAAATGTATAAACATCCAAAATTGGTTAAATGACCTCCGATTCGTATTCTTGTTTCCTCATCAAATAAAATGCATTTTCACCGCAAAACAGTATCAATTCAATCTCCAGTCATACAGGTATCAGTCCAACTCATCCTCTTAATATTAATCCCGTAAATTTTTCCAACATGGACAATAGCTTGGAAAGATCAGAGCTGATTCTGGCTAAACAAAAACCAGGCACCACTTTACAATACGGCCCCCTATTGCCACTTATAAATGGTAGTAACTCATTATTAAAAAAACATGATATAACTTGTTTATGATTGTTGATGAATGATTTACAAGACATTACAACCTATTTAATAACCAGATTATAAACACATTCATAAACCCTTTATGAGGGTAGTGTAATTGTAAAGTGAATGATTGGATTGCTTTTGTATGGGCTTCACTCACTTTAAATTGGCAGAGCGGGTAATTCCCGTAAATATAATCCCATCTGCCATTAACCTGTAAGGTGTAATCCTCTGGTTTCTCTTGCTTCATTGGCCGAAAGACGGTGGCCTTCTTTTTTAGTGCGTTCCGTATTAGGGTCAGTGGTACTTCTTGAGGTTCCACTTGTAGCGTGAAGCTTTCCTGAAGAGAGAAGTTAAAAATTACTAAACATTAAACGACATCATTTCATTACTTAAAAGTCACTTTCTAAGTCACATGATGCATTGAGTGTTGTCAGTCTGTACTGTATATTTAGGAACTTACATCACTAGCTTCAAATTTTACATTAACAATGATTTTTTTGATCCCTTGGGTTTTCAGGGTTCCACTCAAGGGACAAGGCTCAAGTTCACATGGAAAACTGTACTCCATCCATTTTTGCCAAGGCAGCCTCTGGCGATCCAGTGCCCGCTCCTCACAGAACGCCCTCATCTTTGTCCGAAACTCATGAACTTCTTGGTTTTTTAGGGAGTCAAACTCGTGAAGTCCTGAGGAGCACAATCACTATGATTTGCAACAAAACCATAAAGCTGTAATTCTAGCGTAATTGCAAAACTGATAAGCGGACCTTTGCCAATCAATAGGCTTATCTGAGACGTTATGAGCTTTTCTACTCGGTCGCCCTCTCGAGCCACGAGCCGTAGGATGGGCATCAAGGGCTGGACATCACAAAGGCGCCTCTGTTCGTCTTCCAGCTCCTCCTGCTCCGCCGTATGATTGATACAGGTGAACACATACGCATCTGGGTCACTCAGGGCATAGAAGAGAGGCTCCTTCTTTGCATTCTTCCATACAATCTGTATAACGCAAATCATGTAACAGGAATCAGAAGGACTACTCAAAGCACGCTACACTGCAATTACCTTTTGGATCCACACTTCCAGTTGTGGGTTTAATGTGAGTCATTGATGTTTTATGTTAATGGGACAGATGCCTGATATATATGTGCAGGGTATTCATTGTCTTTACACCATCTCTAGTGTTTCTCTTTCATTTTACTTCAGGTGTTAAAAGAAAGTACCTGCTGTTCTAAAATTGGATGTTATTCCTTTGAACATGAGACAATTGTACAACTGTAAAATATTGTAGCGCCCTCTCGCTAATTTCAGATGCCAAGACACAAAGACAGACCAAAGAACAACCAGACCCAATTAAAAGAACTAGAAAAAAAAGCTCAACCCCTTGAACAAGGAGATACACTGACCAGAAGGGACTTAATTACACTGATTGCAGGTGTGTTTCATTGCACTGCACTGATATTACATTAAACGTAGCGGACCCAATTCCGGTCCTGCAGGGCCAGTCTGTACCACAGTTTGCAGACCTCCTTGCTCAAACACACCTAGTTCAGCTCACCAGCTAATTGCCAGGTTTAGTAGGTGTGTTTGAGCAAGGAAGTCTGCAAGCTGTGGTGCAGCCCGGCCCTCTTTGGGGACCAAAATGGGGGAACCCTGCATTAAGGTCATATTGAGGTGAGTATAACCATGTGGAAGATCAAAGGTGTAGGTTTGGTCTCAGCATTGGTTGGTACCAATTCAGCCCCAAACCCCACGCCCCCCTAAACACACATGGTACTCCCCTAATATTGGTAGGGACACCTCCTTACTGTCCATACACAAACATACGCCCTTGGAGAACATAGATGCCTGCAAACTGAAACTGTTGAACCTGATTCTACACCAAATGTTACACTCAGTTATTGGTGCCTCCACCAAAGTGCTATTTAAATGATTTTCCATATAGAATCTTTCCAGATGGTTCCTAGATCATATTCAAATTAATGTCTAACATCCCTAGATCAGCACTCATGAAATGCACCCTAGATATTAATGTATATTGGGGCTCATTTGCTTGCTGCAACATCCACTTGAAACAGAGGTTCAGCCCCATTACAAATACATATAATGTAAATGTACTATATATAATATTTGCCCCTGTAAAATACAGTTAAGGTATACAGTTACCATGCTGCATTATCCATGCAATATGATCCCTCTAATACTAGCAGCTACCCAATTTTTAGGAATTTTGTGCATCATGTAACTGACAGCTTTGAATTTATACCTTCACTCTCTCTCTCTCTCTTTCAATCTCTCTCACACACACACCTTTTCTTACCCTGTGCTTGTAATCCCCTGCTTGTTACTCTCCATTTACTCTTATCTTATTGTCCCCATTCCTAAAGCTGCTTATTTGTTCAACAAAGAGTCACTAAATGACAAATTTAAACAAAAGAACAAACACACATTATAAACAGTTTAAATGCAGTGGCCTCCACTAAAAATGGACCTCAGCTAACCTTGAAATTATACTCCAGACATGTGAGGGATCCCCCCTGAAATTATACTCCAGACATGTGAGGGATCCCCCCTGAAATTATACTCCAGACATGTGAGGGATCCCCCCTGACATTATACTACAGACATGCGAGTGATCCCCCCTGACATTATAATGCAGACCGTGTGAGCGATCCTCCCTGACATTATAATGCAGACCGTGTGAGGGATCCCCCCTGAAATTATAATGCAGACCGTGTGAGTGATCCCCCCTGACATTATAATGCAGACCGTGTGAGTGATCCCCCCTGACATTATAATGCAGACCGTGTGAGTGATCCCCTCTGAAATTATAATGC